AGAGAGTTCGTAGCAGGAGTACATAAGCAACAGCTGTTTGATGGTAAAGAGCAGTTAGCTGTGGTTCAGTGACTGATATCTCCACAAAGTTCTGGACCTTTTGTATGTATGTATGCATACCTTTATTTATTTATCAGCACAAATGCAACACAAATGTAACAAGGCAACATAAAAAAATGGCTTTCTGCCTGGATGGCTCCTAGGGAGAATCGAAAGACAGAAAAGGCAAGCAGTATGCTCCCTCCCATATTTGGGCATACCAGGGGTTGTGACACAATACATACATAAATACATACATACATACATACATACATACATACATACATACATACATACATATGCATTTGTGCTGATAAATAAATAAAGGTATGCATACATACATACAAAAGGTCCAGAACTTTGTGGAGATATCAGTCACTGAACCACAGCTAACTGCTCTTTACCATCAAACAGCTGTTGCTTATGTACTCCTGCTACGAACTCTCTACAACCTATTTCTTTCTTTCCAGTATCAGGCTATTTATTTTTTATTTCTTATTAAACGTCTATGCTACCCATCTCAATGAGATGACTTTAGAAGGCTTAGAGTCATAGAATTAAAATATTATACAAAATCTTAAAACAATAAATCAAAAGCATACATTCAAAAATCCAATTAATATTCAATAGTAGGTGGGATGAAAAATGCACATGAAGAGGATGTGGGAATGGTTGCAGAAATTGGGTGTGTCTAGTTTAATGAAAAGAAGGACTAGGTGTGATATGATGGTAGCGTTCCAATAACTAAGGCGCTGACACAAAGAAAAGATGGCCAACCTATTCTTCAAAGGACCTGAAAGCAGGACAATAAGCAATGGATAGAAACTAACCAAGGAGAGAACCAATCTAGAACTAAGGAGAAAAATCCTGAAAGACTTGCCTCCAGAGATTGTGGGTATTCCAACACTGGAGGTTTTTAAGAAGAGATTGGAAAACAATTTGTCTGGAATGGTTTAGGAATGCTTGAGCGGGGGGTGGGGGGGAGTTGAGTAGAAGACTTCCAAGGCCCCTTCAAATTCTGTTATTCACCCCATGGTGGTGAATGATCTCACCTAATGGATTCATATAGATGTTTAAAAAGATTGGAGAAAGTACCAAGCCCTGTAGGACACCATAAAATAGCAGCTGTGGATGGGATGGGCCTCTTGCTCCCTATCAATACCTATTAGGACTGACATTGGAGAAAGGAGCCAAACCAATGTAATCTGCCATGTCTAGCCCCAAATTCTGCAGCTAGCCCAAAAGGATACCATATTAAATGGTACTGAAGGCTACTTAGAGATCATCTACAAATGTGACCTGTGCTGTTTCTGCCCCATAACAGGACCTGAATCCTAACTTGGAAGGGGTCCAGATAATTCATTTCATCCAGGAACCTTTCAAATTGACATGCAACCAGATTCTCTGCCATCTTTTCGGAGGAGGAGGAGGAGGAGGAGGAAGACTGGATTGTCTGGCCAGGATTAAGAGATTTTGTTTGCATATATGCAATTCAACTAATGTCTGTTTCTCTGTGCCAGCACTCTTCTTGTTTGTGCACATAAAGAAATATACTCTCTATATAAATATACTGTCTCTATAAACAGGCTCTCTATATAAAAATTAAAATCCTAATTTCTCAGTCATTTGCACATAAATGATAACTACCAATCAACCATCCATAGACACACAGACACCCACACCCACAGCAGCCTCGCTCAAAGCATCCAGTATAAAGAATTATCAACTAGAAATTCCAAAGCACAAAGGACTCAAAATGCATTAAATTCTCTCTGATGTTCAGCACAAAAAAATAGCTAGATATGAAAGCTGAAGAAAAAAGAAAATTGATTATGGGAAAATGCACCTTTTTCCCAGATAATAATTGTGATGTGAGTCACACTGAATGTCTAGACCAGCAAATGAAAGATAGCGATATTTAGCCCTACTTCAAATATTCCAGTAATAGACCACTCTGATAATTGAAGTTCTTAAATCAAATTGTAAGCATTGGGGAAAAACAAATTTACACTAGTTTTGACACTGATCTAAACCCATTCAGCATTTAAAAGCATCACACTGGGGAAGAAGGAATGGCATACAGCATAATAATTTATCTCCAAACCCCACTATTGCACTTTCCAATTGCTCTGTCCAATTTTAGTACACCATTTGAGCTGAAGTCTCATTAAATTAATCATTAAAATAAGCCACTGCAAACTACATAGCCACTGCAAACTCCTGGAGCAGGAGCGTCAAGCTTGATTTCATTGAGGGCCACATCAGAGTTCTGTTTGACCTCAGGGGGAGAGCGTGACCAGCTCAATGTCACTCATGTCGGGGGTGCCTGTGGTAGCCCAAGTGCTTTGCCAGTGAAAATGGGCTCCCAATCTCTGTTTTCGGCTGCAACAGCGTTCTGCAACCCTCTGCAGCCTGGGCCCTCCCAAGCTCCATTTTCACTGGCAAAGATACTGCGGGCTGGTCCTTCACTGTTTCCAGGGTGGGCCAGATCTAAGTACTCCCGGGCCTTGAGTTTGACACCTCTGTCCTGGAGTCTTGGAGTCTGAAATGACAGTCAAATATTTCATAATCTCTTCTGAATGGCTTTTGAAAAAGGAGTGATCTACAGCAAAGATCTACAGAGTGGAGGATCCCAGGTTGGATTTAAAGCTATTGAAGAACATGTAAATTAAGAAGTTAGATACACAAATCTTTTCTTCATGCTTTTGAATGGAACAAAAGTGTTTCTATCATAAAATTTATTTATTTGTTTTTTTTTTTAAAAAACTAAGTTGAAAACAAATGAAAATTGACAGGCACCAATAAAAATGCGGACAATATCTGTTTAAAAGCATTTAATATATCAGAAAGGTATTTCCCTTTAAAAGGTCAGTCTAATCAGTCTTCGTTGTGGCTGCTGCCTTCCTACACTATGCACCACTTGACATGTATGGTATCTGAGTCATAACCTGTGGCACTGAGATATGTTTCAGATTCTCTTTTGCCAGAGACAAAGGCCTTTTTCAGACTTCACTCTTCTTCTTCATCTCCATACGGTAAATGATCTGATAGCCATCATCCCAAGCATAGATCTGCCTCTCTTTGGGGTTGTACTTCATACTGGAATGAGAACCATATCGCTTTGGGAAATAGAGTTGGGCAGCATCTTCAGACGTCATTGAGCCACTGACATCAAAGGTGCATTGAATACGGGATCTGCTGGGCAACCGAGTATTGTATACTACATAGAGAGCTCCACAGATAACAAAAGCGCTCTCTGCATTCTCCCGCGGACATGGTGTGTCCCACATTTGCTCAATGTCTAGAGATGTAGGATCTAGTTTGGCCAATGCTATATTTCTTTCATTTTCTTGTGTGGCATAAATAGCCCAGATGCCTTCCTCATCGGCCCCCAAATCAATGTAGTTGTAGGATGTGAGACCAAAGACGGGGATCTGTTCCTCAGCTGGGAAGACAGAACTATCAACAATCGTTTTGTTGGTCAAGCTAAACTTGATGACCTGAAATGTGCCATGCCGCCGAATATAATAAAGATATCCTCCATATACCAAATGTCCTGTGCCAACCCATGGGTAGGGCAACTTGATGCGTGCAGCCTTTCGGGTAGCAGAAAAGAGGGTGAATTCTCTCATCCTTGGAAAAACATAGACAGTGTCATTGCTGGTGCCATCAAACACATAGATCTTCTCTGAATTACTGAGGGGGTCTTTGGTCCAGAGTCCAGCAGTGCTGCCAAACCTCTTTAATATCTTCATGGCTTTGACTTGGGATATGGTGTCACTGCAATCTATAAAGAATAGTTACAGCATGCTTAATATATACTATCTCATATCCATAATGAAGCATAATATTAACAAATGTAAGCACATAAAATATTCCATGTCATCTTCAAAAACAGGTGGCTTAAATTTTACAGATATCTGAGATTATTTATATTTTAAAACAAATTATTTATACCAACTTCTTTATTGATAATTAAACTATTGATGGCCTTCCATTATATATGCTGATGCTGTGGGGAAAAAAACAGTATCTTATATTCATTTATTTTGTATGTTAAAAGTATGCCTTCATGCAAATACTTTGCCCATTTCTAATCCCAAAGCATGTACCTTCTAACTGATGAGATACAGCAAACAACTAAGTTAACTTAAAAGTACACCATATAAATACTATACCATATGAAATTCTAACTTACACAGATTACCTGAGTATACTTAGGGCAAACTGGGCTTCTGGACAATGTGTCTAGATAGGCAAGGAAGGTTAGGATCCACAGGTACTTCATTGTTGGATGTTTTCAATGCAACTGCACAACAATTTGTCTAGAATGGTATATGACTCCTGCCTTGGGCAAGGTTTTGATTAGAAGACCTCCAAGGTCCCTTACAGCCCTATGCTATTGAGGAATATTTGAGGATCTTTTGGAGTACTAGAGGATTTTTGAGTTGGGTAAATTAAAGTCTTCAAGAGTTTTTGCTACGCTGTTGTCATGCAGGAAAAGAAATTTGAAGCTGCCACAACATAATTACAGTGGGAACACAGAACATAAGAAATATGAACAAGGGAAATCTCAGCACAATGAAAGATGATATGAAAAGGAAATGACTACAGACTGACCATTTAGACATCAATAAATTGAAGAATATACATAAGCACACATAAGAAATGGTGTTAGTTTCATAATTATGAAGAATGCCACCAAGATAATTCTTGGGTACAATGCAATCAATGACTGAATATTGTCAATTAGACATTTCAGACAATACTTCAATATGATGATTCAAATTTATGCTCCAACTGATTCAGAAAAAGAGGTTTTTAACCAGTTTTATTATCAAGTTCAATCTGAAATCAAAGGAACATGACAGCAAGAGAGGCTGCTTGTTGTTGGAGATAATTTAGAGGATATTTCCTATTCACAAGAATCTCTAGTACAAGAAGATGAAGGATCAGTAATCCTAATCATTACAAGTCAGAAAGTTAAAATAATTCATGGAATGTCTATGAAAATATGGCAAACATTAGAAGCAGAATAATAATAGTTCTAACTAAACTATGCCATTCAGTCTGGAGAATGAAATAATGGCAAACAAATTGGAAGTGATCATTCCACATATCAATACTAAATACAGGAAATTCAAGGGTGTTCAAATTGTCGTGTAATGTCCTTAATTTCATATGGTAGCAAAATAATGTTTAGGATTATCCAACACAGATTAAAGCCCTACATGGAAAAGGAGATTGGAGATGTTCAAACTGGCTTTAGAAACGACCAAGAAACAAGATGCAATATTGCTGATGGACACTGATAATTGTGAAGCTAAAGCACATAGAAATTTTGCTTCTTATGTGATAGAAAATAGATAGAAATGTGATTGTGGTAAGAATATGCTTAGGGAAATAGGAATCCCAGAATACTTCATTGTTCTTATATAGCATATATAGGTAATATTTGACATATGACCATTATTCAGCAACACTTTGAACTTATGACAAAGCTGAACCAATGGAGGTTAAAACCAGTTCTTGGAGTCCAGCAATTCCAGAATCATTGCAGTCATGTGATTGCAGCCTGGGTGCTTGGCAACCCATTTATATTTATAATCAGTTGCCAACTCTCCCATGATCACAAGTTCACCATTTGCAACTTTCCCTGCCAAATTCTCCAGAAAGTCAATGGGAAAACCAGCTGGGAATGTCGCACATCTCTGGGATAAATCTCACATACCTGATGACCCACCTCCAGTCCCTCTGCACTTATATTATGACCACTTAGACACTCTTACTCGACCTTCCCTGACTTGCATCACACCTCCAGGAACACACACCACTTTCTGTGCATGTGCAGTGCTCGCACATTATGTTGGGGCAAATAGGGGGAACCTCCTGCAGCCACCACTACTGGTTTGTCCAAACTGGAGAGATATGACTGAATACCACCTTTGCTCCATTTGCTGAGCCTCACTTCTCATGGACTGTCCCCAAGCACACCCTTGCTTTCTCCTCCACCTAGCAGCAGACACTTAGTTACCTGAAGGCCCGGGACTTGGAACTTCCAGCCAGACTTCCTATAATTTTAGTTACGAGAAGCTGGCAGAAAATTGTCTTATGTAATGATCAGAGGTGGGTTGCTGCTGGTTCGGCCCAGTTCGGCAGAACCAGTAGTGGCGGTGGCGGGAGGCTCCACCCACCCATCCAGAAGCTTTTGTGCAAGTGCGCAAGCATGCACACGAGCGCGAGCAAACCTATAGTTAAGCAGTTAGCAACCCACCACCACTGGTAATGATCATAGGATTCAGTTAACCAGGATAGTAGTGATTGCCATTACAAATCAATGCAATTGTGCTTTATGACTCCCTCATGCAGCAACACAAATTCTGGTCCCAGTTGCTGTTGTAAGTTGAGGACTATCTGTCATAGTCTGGATGGATCATGGTGAAACAGACTAACTCGAGGCTCGCAGAAAGAGACACGCCTGAATACTTTGTCCTTATTTATTCAACCTATATACTGTTTGTGTGTGTATGTGTGTAGAGAGAGAGAGACAGAGACAGAGTGAGGGCTTTACTGAAAGAAGATGAGCATGAGGGAGGGAAATTGCAGGGAAAAAATAAATAACCTTGCTACGCTGATGACATTGCTTTGATAAATGAAAATACAAATAATATGGAAAGTTTAGTGATAAAAAGTAGGGAGTACAGGGAGAAAAGGAAGCTAAGATTAAATACAAAAAAAAAGCCAAGCCAATGACAAGAGGTACAGCAACCAGCCTTATAATTGAAAATTGGCCCAGGATAATTGGAGCGCCTATCTGAAGACTACAATAAATTTGATTACTTGATTATCAATTAATTGTTTATATTTGTTATAAATTAATAAATATTGAAGTGATAGGTTGTCTCTGTCTTTTAGGATCAATCAACAACAAAGGATCAAACAGTCAAAAATACATCTCAGAACAGCACTTGGTAGAATAGCAATGAAGGCCTTGAAAAATATATTCAAATATTGTGTTGTACCTATAACTACAAAGGTCAGAATTGTGTAGACAATGGTTTTCACTGTGATACTCTGTAGAAGCAAAAGTTAGCAAGATGGGAGAATATTCATGCTTTTGAATTTTAGTGTTCACAATGGTGTGAATAGCCAAGAAAACAAACAAATGAATCACAGAACAAATTAATCCAAAATTATCTCTCTTGAGGCACAAATGACCAGGCACAAATTATTGTATTTTGGACAAAGTTCTATTTTCTTAAATTCATAATTCAGAGAATGATGGAGGGGGGTGGAGAGGATAGCCAGCAGCAAACTAGATGGACCTTATTCCAGTGGTAATAGTTGCACCACTGGAAGATGAGACTGGAGAAAATCTATGTTGACCAAAATGCTAGGAAGAAAACAAAATCATTTCATATAAAATGTAAATGTTATTTCTGTTGTAGGGAATAAAATATGACACCCCCCTCTCTTCCAAAACTGTCCAGCCACTTAGGCTGCTGTGCTAAGTGAAGGAGAAATGCAACAATTCCCACTGGCGAGGACATAATAAATTATAGTTTTTGCTGAAAACCAGCTACATCATTTTGTGAGCTTTGCATGTTGATCGTTAAAATAATTTAAAGTTATGCCTTTTTTCCCACTGTATTTATTATTATTTAACAATAGGCTGCTGTCTTTATTTCTTTAACAATGACCAATATAGAGCTGCCAGCTCTCCACTGTAACAAAATCTCTCTTTTTTTTAAAAAAAATGAGCATTTGTTATATTCTGGTAGGAGAATTGTTTTCGGAATACTGAAGACCGTCTTTCCTCTGGCAGAGTTTTGAATTATAAGATATGAAATAGAGTTCAACTGTATATCTAATTCCCACATGATGGTAAACATTTACAAATGCCTATTTTAATATTCCTTATTTAGTGGGGTTAGGCTGACATTTATAACACTAAGCTGAAGCTTTCTGAGCTATAGTTTCATGAATAATTGGCTCAATTTACACATTACATTAATCCACAAACCATAGTTTACACACCAAAATGGCTGGATTAATGCAGCATGCTAATCCAAACCAAACATTACAGCTTTAGCCAACATGTGAACCCTGCCAAATATATCTTAACAGCTGATGGTAACATTTAGGAACCATATGACAAGACATGTGGGAGGATTGTTAGCACTGACTTCTAGTGCAGGCACATGACCTAGGGGAACTGTTTCTCAAAAATGTATTTATGTCGATGAGATCTAGCTCACAGCCCAAAAAACCAACATGAGTGATGTAGAAATTATCCTTTCTCAATATCTTCAGAAGCTGGATAACTATTTCAAATCTGACAGTGAGAACAATCAACCAATTGAACAGTTGTGGGAGCTTCCTCATGTGAGACTTTCAAGAAGAGATTGGACTGCCATTTGTCAGAAATGGTGTAGGGACTTCTACTTGAGTGGGGGGTTGGACTAGATGACCTACAAAGTCCCTTCCAACTCTGTTAATCTGTTAATCTGAATTCCGCTTACCTGTCAGTTTGTCATATTTCTCATTCTTGCGCTTCTTGCCAGGAGAAGCCTGATTCTCCATTAGCTTATCATCTATTTCCACACAGGGTGGAGCAGGATTTTGGGTCTCAAGATAGTCCACCTCTCTCTCCAGTCGGTCCACCCGTATTGCAGTATTTTCCACCTCTGCACGGAGTATTTCCTTATCTTTTTCCACTGTCTCCAACATGGACACCACCTTATTCTTGAAATCTCTCAGTTCAGTGGAATAACGGCTGCTCTGATCATGCCACTGGGAAATGCGTTCCTGATGGTAGAGGGAATTAGAAGCTTTAAGGGGAATGTAGAGGAAACTCTTTAGCAAGCATGTTACATCCAGATAATTGCAGGAAAAAACAAAAAAGCTCATAACTGTATAAAAAATGAACTCAAACTCAAACCGAGACAGCGTTCACTCTGTAAAAATCAGCTTATATTTGATCTGACATATTACAAAGCCTTTGTTATGATAGATTAAATACTGAAAGTCTTGATTTTAAAAGCCTGTCATGTTAAAATATCAGCTAATTCTGAGATATTTTCATTTACCTACTGGATTATCAGGCATCCTGCATACTACTCGTATTTTCATTGTTAAGATGATCTGCAATTTAGTTTTACGTTTAAAAGTACCAAGTTTCAAACTAGTTTTTAGAATTCTTATTTTATAGTTCTGTCTCCCACTCAATAGCATGCATCCAGCTACTAATCCTCAGAATTGCTGGGTAGAGCATTCATGAATTGGTGGCTGAAGTGCTGTCAAATTTATTATGTTTCAACAGGATGCTCCTTTCAAATAACTGTAGCATTTTAAATTATGGAACAAGACTTTATAATCTGGAAAAAAACCTTTTTATTTTCAGAATATGTTGCATAACTCTCATTACAAATATAAACTAAGCAGCCTGAAATTGTTACATGCATTCAAACGTCCATACCATTATCTACAATCATGAACAATGCTCTTATCTTCCTTCAAATTAAGCCTATAGTGAGTTCCCGCTTGAAAGAGGATTTTTTTTCTACTATTCAAACTTTCAATAAGAAATCTATACAACTGCAGTCCTAATGCCGTGTGCCTATAAAGCTCAAAGATGAATGTGTCAGTTGCCATCTCTTGTGCTCACCTCTAAACCAGCCAGCCTTCTCTCCATGTATTCCATTAACTGCTGTTGCCCATCGACAGCGCTGACCAGGATAACCAACAGAAGCAAGATATGTTGAGGAGCCATAGTTGTGCTAGTTGTCTTGTGCTTTGCCAGCTAGAAACTTCTGTACCAGATTTTACCTCACACCATTGGAATGTTTTGACAGTTTCTCTCTAAAAGAAGGGAGAGAGAGCACACTCTCATTTGCTAGATTTTATTAAATCCAGATGTCTAGTTGTAGAGAAGAGGCTGGCCCGTTCCAAAAGGAGCCAGCATTGAGTCTTAACTCCTTTATTACCAGAATCCTACAACTACCGGAATTCAGAAGTGAGTAGATGAAACAATACTGAACTTATATACTGTTAGTTTGTGATCACATTCTCAACAAATTTACAAGTATAAAAATAATGCAGAAAGCCTTCTTCAGACCAGTATCTTTGTCCTGGGAGATGGATGGGAATAACTTTCTAATGACATTTAGACGAAGAATATTTCAAATGTCTTTGTGTTACAAATTTGTATATGGCAGTTGTATATCATCTACTTTTTATTTTGTGTTTATATTCATATTTCATTTACAAATATGATTGTGTGCACATTGTATGAACCATTTCTTGCTTAACTATCATTTATCAGACAAATTATAACTGAGTAGGCTTGCACATTTCATTAAACAACAAACTTATTACAGGGGTTGAATTTGTATGAGATGACCAGTTGGAGCACATGGGTGAGGTCAAACACACCATCGGTTTTGAGTCATTACGTTCCCACAAAAAACTAAGTCCAGCCCCCTTGAATTCAGTTAATTCTTATCTGGGGTTAATTTGGCTTGACCATTATTAGAACAGATTCTTATGTATAAGTAGCATGAAATGAACTTTTGGTGCTTTGAACTCTATTCCTGTTCCTGGTTACTTGTGCCTTATAGAATTCATGCATTCCAAGCTTCAACCACACTGTCACTTGACTTAAGTATGTCAACAAGCTTCATATTGGCTTGATTTATAACTCATTCAATTTCTTTCTCTTTTTCCTTGATTATAGTTTTACTTCAAAATTTAGTAATTCAGAGTAGTTTCAAAATGATCTTAATAAATGAACTGTTGTTCTAGAATAGCCTTCTTCAACAAGGGCCATTGCAGCTCTATTTGCAGTATGATCCCTGAATTTCATTTATCTACGTTTTTTTTAGATGAAAGCATCCCATCATAGACCTCTCATCACTGCAATACTGCTCTTACGTTTGCACTTAGGTACCCTGCTTCCCCCAAAATAAGACCTCCCCAGATAATAAGCCCAATCAGGCTTTTGAGCGCATGCGCGAAAATAAGTCCTCCCTTGAAAATAAGCCCGCCACAAAAATATTGCAACACAGCAGCATCCATGAGGTGACCACATTCACTGCCTCCTGCACCTCAAAAATAATAAGACCTCCCAGATAATAAGGCCAAGTGCTTATTTTGAAGGTCAAAAGAAAATAAGACCCTGTCTTATTTTTGGGAAAACATGGTAAGGGCAAGGAGTGCCAAGATAGGACGTGGCAGAGGTTTTCAGTAGCACTATCAGTCCTGTGGAATAACTACTCAAAAGTCAATATTCCTAATTTAAAAGAGACAAAATGAAACACTTAGCTATCAGGCAATCCTATGTTCTTTCTGGCAGTCATTTTGTATGCATTTTGTTAGGGTACTTTATCTGCAACTCAGCATCCTATGTCATTAAAGGAATGCTACGTTGAGCTGGAAAATTTGCTTGCAGTCCAATTCCCAAGTAAAAATAACGTATGTAGCATAATTTTTGAAGGATGTGTGTGTGAATATAGATCTTGGCATTTGCATACAAAATACATCTATTTAGCAAGTGCAACGACTTGAACTCTAATATTATTTGGAAGCAAACAAACCACAATTTATATATGAGTACCCACTTCATAAATCACATATACATATGTATTTTATTATACAAGGGAATCAGATACTAAGTATTGCATCAAACAGTGAATGCTAGTGAGTTGCGTTTCTTTACGAATCTGAAAGTATGATGGCATTTGTTTATTTTTCATAAAATTAAAATTTGTTTACATTAAATACTGTGAAAATTAAAGTACAGCTGAACATAATCAAGTAGTTTATTTGTACTTTGGCACAGGTGTTCCACTCAAAATCCTGAGGAATAGAACTGCAGACTAGTTCTAGAGCCGAGGTGGCGCAGTGGTTAGGGTGCAGTACAGTGACGTGCGGTGAGGTTTATACCTGGTGAGGCTCAGCTGGGCATCCTTTTGCGAAGCAGCGAAGCAGGGCAGCAGTCGGCCTCGGTGGGGGGGGAAGCAGCCGCTGCCGCTGCCGCCACCACCGCCCCGCCTGGTGAAGGAGGGGTGGTGGCGGCGGCAGCGGCTGCTTTAAGCGCTCCCTTGTCTCGCAGCCGGGGCCGCTCCAGGCTGCCGGCCGCTGACACGCGCTCCTGCGAGAGCCTCTGCGCAACGCCGGGAGGCCGCAGAGAACCTTCGCTCCGCTTCTCACTCAACCTTCCCCCAGAGGCAATCCGGGACTTCCAGTGGTGGAGCCTGGAGAAGCAGGCCGGGGCAACGGGTGGGCAGCAGCATCAGGGACGGTGGGGCACTTTGCATCGTGGGAGCCGCCAAGCGCCCAGGTCTGCAGCAAAGAGCCAGCCTCCTCCTTCTCTCCCACTCCTCTCTCCTCTGAAGCACGCCCCGCCCAACGTAAGTGTGCTCAAGAAGACATGATTCGCTGCTTCCAGATCAGGAGGCGGAAGAATTAGTGCCTCTTTTGCATCTGAACTTTTTTGCCTTTTAACTCTTTCTTAACTTTTAGAAGGCGGAAAATTCCTTATGGAAAAGAGGCCCCGAGTTCTCTTGCCTCCTGCTTTGGTTAACACTAAGCAGACACCAAGCCACTGTGACTTGGAATCTGGTAGCAACTATCTTGGCTTTAATTATTAAAAATATATATATTT